TATGGAATCAGTATCCGAATTATGGCATAAAAACTCACTATCGTCATTGACATTAGGATTTCGTGATTGGTTCACTTGTTGCACTTGCAACGTTGAGTTGTTTGAGCTGCACCCAGGTTGTGAAACGATGTCACCACTACCCGAACTCTCAAGGGAATTGTAAAGTTTCTGTCTTTTGGTGGCCCCTCATATATGATGTTATGATGATCATAATCAATAACCCTCATCAATATGATGTTTGTTTAGCTTACCACTTGCATGTGCAAGTGGTAAGCTAAACAAACGGTTGGACATGACAAAACTTCATGTTCGGTTCTGTATAAACCGTAAATTTACAAATGTTAAAAAAGCTAAACAACTAAACACAATGTATAACTAACCGCAATAGACGATTTAATAAACTAAATTAAATGTTTTCATTGCAATCGGATGCACTCGAGCAAGTTTGTCAAAACCTCTTGTAGTAGACATTTGAAAAACGCCTTAAAGACGTCTTGTGCCAGGCATTAACAAGACGTCTTGCAGCAGACATCTTAAAGACGTCCGTTGCCAGGCATTTACAATACGTCTTGTAGTAAACATCTTTAAGATGTCTTAAAGACGTCTTCAAGAGACATACGACGTTCAGACATAACGGCATAAAGAAGACGTCTTAGAGACGTCTTGTGCTGTCTGGGTAAGTCTAATCCGACTAGGCTCAAAATACGCTTCAGCCCGGTTTCAGGTGCAAACCAATATTTATCATGGGCAAAAAAAAATCGTGGGGATATGCGGCCGATTGTCACTTGAATAGACTTCAGGCCACAGAAAACAAACTTCTGCGGATGGCCATACATGCGCCCTGGTTTGTTAGAAACTCCCAAATCTACAGGGACCTGGAGTGGGAGCCACTAAGGAAGTTTCTCACAAAGAAAGCGGCAGAAGACTTCGAGAAAGCTGGAAGGCACTCCAACGAAGAGCTACGAAATTTGGTAAATTACACGCCTGAAGATCTGTGACCCAGGAAAAAAAGGCCCAGACCCCAACTAGCCCAATAGGGCAACAGGTAGCAAACGGCGTAAGCTGTAAGTGTGTAAGTGTGGTTATGTAGAGTTAGTAGTAATCACAGATCACAGCGGTACTCTGTAATCTATGGTAGTAATTAGCATGCACATAGAAGTAAGGTGTAAATTAATAAGATGCCCATGCTAGCAAGCAGCTAGCATGGAGAGAATGCGATGCTATGGCATACGGATGCCGGTGCTGACAAATTCTTAGAGAGGACTACAAGTTTTAAAGGATAACTCCCGAAAACTCGTAGTACAAAAAAGGGGGTTTTTCAGTTGGTAAGAATCCAACACTACCCAGGGTTCGGAACACTGGGTGTCTTCGCGAAGATTTTTATTCCTCAAGCCGCCGGGCAAACGAAAAAAAAAAATGGGCGAAAATAACATGTGACAAAAAATCACAGATACTTGGAACAGGTACGAGCTTGGAACAGTCACACATTGAATGTGTGGCTGAAAAGTACTGGTTTGCGTCATCCCTAGATCACACCGATCTCGAGAACACAGAAACGTAATACGCTCCATAAGTGGTGACGTCATAGCACGTTTCGTATTAGTAACTATGTTAAAACTTGTTATTTGTATTTAAATGTTATAGAATAATGGTTATGTGTTGGGCTCCTGAATATAAAAATTATGATGATCGTAAAAATGGTCGTTTTTCCGGTTTCCAAAACACCCACTCCCTCGAAATCGATGGATAAAGGTGGTACGATTAGTAAATCTTATATTGTCATTTGTA